ATTCTCAGAATAACCCTGCCAGGAAGGTGTTCCTTGTGTTTTACAGGTTAAGGACACCCAGGCCTGGGATCCAATGCTAAATGACTTACTAGGTTTGCACAGCCTGAGAGTGCCTCCAGAGCCTCTGTCCTTCCCCTGGACTTGCTTGCAGATTCTCAGCCTCACCCACCCGGCTGCCCACTCACCTCCCTCACTGTGACTTACAAAGCCACAACTGGCCAAGGGTCGGTTGCGCACAGATGGACTGTGGTGACCGAGGAGGGCCCCTAGCTGGGGGCTGAGTCGGAGTGGATTCTAGAGAATAAAGGCCCAGGAGCTAGAAGATGCCAGATTGTGGAGAGAGTGAGAGAGCTGGGCTCCAACTCAGGCCCTCTGGCCCCGCTCCTTGCCCACTGGGCCTCCTTTCTGTGGAACAAAATGTCTCTGTGACCGCCGCCTGCAAGACGGAGGCAGGCGCAGGGTCTTGCAATCCCTCTTGTAATCCTCACTGTGACTGCCCACACTTCTTTACGTCTCATCATCTCCCTTAGCTTCTCTATTAGATTTCCAGCCTGCTACCTAACTCTTACACAGAGCACCAGGGAGAGGTTAGTGTGAACAAGGGGGAAAAGTGAACCGGACCCCCTCCCAGCGTTTCACAGCAAAACACTGCTGTGCACATGACCTTCTCCATGGAGGGCTCACGTAGACATGCTAATTGATTTGCTCAGATATATGTCACTACTGTGCTAAAAAAAGGTGCCTGTATCCCATAATGGGATGCCAGCTGTGACCCTGAGTTCATTGAGCTGATGATACTGAGCACAACTGAGGGTCACAGTGTCAGTGACGGTCACAGGTCATCATCAGCGGTTATCAGTAAACAAGGAGCTGGGAGACTTTCAAAGAGACACAAACTTTAGCTAGACCTGAACATAAACAAAAAACAACCCGTTGCTGTCAAGTTGTTTCCAACTCATGGCGACCCCATGTGTTACAGAGTAGAACTGCCCCATAGGTGTTTTTTTGTTTCCCCCCTGGGCTGTACTCTTTACAGAAGCAGCTCATCAGGCCTTTCTCCCATGGTGCTGCATGCGTGGGTTTGAGCCACCAAGCTTTAGGTTAGTAGTCGATTACAAACTGTTCGTGCCACCCAGGGACCTTAAATAGGGTAGGACTTAACTAGATTAAGAGGAGAGAGGCATTCATGGAAGGCGGAAGAGCATGAGCATAGGTGCAGAGGCAGGAAAGCATGCGGCATGCTTAGAGACTAACGAGGTGACCAGGCTGATTCCGGGGAGGGGGAGTGGTAAGAGGGTGGAGGTGGAGGTAAAAGCTGCATAGCAAGAGTCCTGTGCTTCTTCCACCCATGCACCGATTTATTTATTAAAATAACATTTCATTGTGTTTAAGGTGAAAGTTTACACAGCAAATTAGGCTCCCATTTAACAATTTCTACATAAATTATTCATTAATATTGGTTTCGTTTTTCACAATGTGTCGTCATTCTCATTCATTCCATTCTGGTTGTACCATTTCCAGTTCTCTGCATTCCCTGCCCGCTTACCTTCTCATCTTTGCTTCAGAGTAGTTTTTGACCTTTTCGTCTGCTATAGATGATTTTTAAAAAGAGCTCATTACTCATGGGTTATATTCTTTATTTTATGAGCCAATGTGTTATTTAGCTAGAAGGTGACCTCAAGAGATAATTTCGGTTTAAGGTTTAAAGAGTATCTCAGGGCAATAGTCTTGGGGAGTCCTCTTGTTTCAATTATTCCAGTAAGTCTGGACTTTTTAAGAATTTGAGTTCTGTTCCACGTTTTTCTCCTGTTCTATCAGGATCCATCTGTTGTGGCCCTGATCAGAAAAGTTGGTAGCCATGCACTGATTTAGCTGTCAGTAATTGTTCGTCTTGTCAGTCTCCCCACTGTGAACTCCCTAGGGTAGGGACAGTACCTCACTCATCTCTGTATCTGCAGCGCTCAGGACCAGGTACCCAGAAAGCACCACGAATGATTGTTGAATTCACGAATTCATTTATTGGACAAGTATTTATTGAGTATCTACTATGTGGTCGGCAGTTGACTAGGTGCTGAGAACCCAGAGTTGCACCACAACTGAGTATTGGCTCTGATTTTATGGAGCTTATGGCCCAATGGGGGAGGAGGGAGCGGTGGTTCAGTGGTAGAATTCTTGCCGTCCATGAGGGAGACTGGGTATAATTCCTGGCCAATAAACCTCCAGTGCAGCCACCACTCATCTGTCAGTGGAGGCTTGTGTGTTGCTATGATGCTGAACAGGTTTCAGTAGAGCTTCCAGACTAAGACTAGGAAGAAAGGCATGGCAAGCTACTTCTAAAAATCAGCCAGTGAAAACCCTATGGATCACCCTAGTTCAGTCTCATGGTGTATGGAGTTGCCATGAGTTGGGGGCTGACTTGCCAGCTAACAACAACATGGCCCAGTGGGAGATAAACAGGTCAACAAATGAATACCTACAGAATGACAACTTACAGTAAGTGCTGTGGAGAAAAAGGAACGGGCATGGTGAGGGAGAATGAGGGTGATGGTGAATGGGGGTGGGAGGAGAGAGCCTTTCTAAGGAGATGACATATAAGTTGAGATCTGAAGGAAGAAGAGGAGGAGGAGATGTAAAATGTTGGGGAAGAGTGTTCTAGGCAGAAGGAACAGCACATGTGAAGACCCTGAGACGGGGAAGGGTTTGGTCTGCTTAAGGTCAGTGGGAATGGAGTGAGTGTGGTGTGAGATGAGGTCATGGGGCGGGGGGTGGAGGGGAGGCAGGGGCAGAGCATGCAGAGCCTCCTAGGCCCTTGAAAGGTTTTACATAATCACACAGCCCAATTGGCTTTTCAAGAGATCATTCTGGACACTGGGTGGAAAATGGATGGGAGGAGAACAAGAACAGAAGCGAGGAGACCAGTTAGGTTACAGAGGATTTCAGGCACGAGAAGAGAGTGCCCGGTACTATGTGGTGAGGATGTAGCTGTGTTACAGTTAGGGGGAAGAATCAGCTGGAATTGATGGCGAACTGTTTGTGAGGGAGAGGGACTAATCAAGGAGAACTGAATAACTTGGTAGATGGAACTGCCATTTACTGATATGCAGAAAACAGGAGAAGAAACTACCTTGCAGGTTAAAACCTCAAGCTGGTTATGTTAAGTTTGAAATGCTTCTGAGACATCCAAGTGGAGATGCCAAATAGGTAGCTAAGTGAGAGAGTGTGGAGCTCAGAGGAGAGTTCTGAGAGGGAGACCTGTATGTGGGAGTGTTCAGCTTGTGGGTGGTATGTTAAAGCCCTGAGGATGGATGGGAAAAGGCAGGAGAAACCCCAGCATTTAGCAGTAGAATAGAGAGAGAGAAACTGGGACAGAAGGGTAGAGAGCAGATGAGAAGCAGGCAGAGTGTAAGGCCATAGAGAAGTGTATTTCAATTCGGAAAGGATGATCAACTGTAGCAACAGCTGTGGAGAGATCATGTACAGCAAGAACTGAAAGTGTCCTTTGGATTTAGAAATGTGGAGGTCACTGGTGACCTTGACAGATTCACCGACTCAGTGACTCAAAAGATGCATAAAGAGGAGACAAAAACCAGAGTGGTTAAGGAGTCAGGGAAGGCTTCCAGAGGGAGGTGGCATTTCAGCAAAGCCTTGAAGGCTGAGTCCTGAGAGACCTAAATGCTGCCTGTAAGAAGCCAGTCTGTGCTTGACAAAGCCTCCCTGTGAGGAGCATAAAGTACCATTAACTGATGGCTTGCCTGCAGAGTATTATCTTCACCACACAAGAGGCAGAGGTTGGAGGAGCTGGCTTAATTCTCAGCAGCAGGGATGCTAGGGAGACTGGTGACACTCCTGTGGGTGACAGAGCCTGCTAACATCCACCCCACCCCCAGGATGCACAAGCTTGTCCACTTCTTTCCCAGCAGAGGAGTCCTGGGAAGTGAGGATTCTAAACGATGGCCTTAGAGCAAAGGGCTCTTAAACACCACCTGGAGCAGTCAGCTCATTACACATCTGGAAAAACTGAGACCTAGGGAAAGGCAGGGGATTGCCTAAGATCACCCAGCACATCAGTGCTACGGACCAAAGTGATTTCTTTACTGAATTCCCATGGCTCTCTCCCTACTGGCTAGTCTGAATACTTTAGCCTGGCTTTCAAAGTCTTTCATAATTAGACAACAGCCCACATTCCAACTTCATCTCCCACCATCTCTTTCTCTAACTCCATGATCCAGCCCCCTGAATGCTTAGCATAAGAAAATGTATAGTCTCGTATAGTCCTTACAACAACTCTTCGAGGTCGATGATATTACTCCCATTTTACAGATGAGAAAATTGGGGCTCAGAGAGGTTTGATAACTTGTCTAAGGTTACACAGCCAGTAACGTACACAGCTGAGCCATGATTTGATCTCATGAGTATCTACAAAGTCATCTTTTTCCCATGCCATGCATCTATTTACAATACAGAGTCCCCCACCCCCACCCCAGGAAGCAATTTCTGAACACCCTGGCTCTAAGCTACCTTGGAGGAGTCTCTCTCACTGTCCCGGGTTCTATGTATCACAGTCACCTGTGTTCATATCTGCCTTCACCCCTGGACTGTGAGTGCCTCAAGGGAACCCAACAGGCAGATACATATTAGCTGAATAATATCATAATGTGAATAAAGCAACTCCCATCTTACAGTGGGGAGGAAACTGTGGCACAAAGAAGTGAACTCATTTGCCCAAGGTCCCACAGTGACAGAGCCATGTCATATGACTCCAAATCACTTGCTTAGTCCACTGAAAATGTCTGCATCCATTGAATGGGACTGAAATGACTGATGCCTGTAATATAGCCTACTGCCCATAAAAACCCCCAAATCACACTACTCCCAGGGGCTACAGCTGCAGCACAGCTGCCCATAGCACGAGCAGGGCACCTACAGAATCTATTCTCTATTCCTTCCCCACCCTAGATGGGCTAGCCAAACCTCCTGCCCCAAGATGCCACTCGCCTCACCTGGAGACCACCAGTGGAAGGATCAGCATCTTCAACATCCTCATCAGGAGCTCTCCAGGGAACTGGAAGTAACTAATCTCCTGAAAATACAGCAAGAGCTGGGGTTATAGCGGGCAATGAAGACTTCACAGTTGACTAATTCTTTACACTCTTCAAAGCACTCTCATCCCCACTCTCGGGCTCAATGTCTAGCACATGAGCAGCAGAGTCAATGGAGAAAGCATTGGCTTTGGGGTCAAACAAATCTGGCTTCCAATCATGGCTTCTCTTATAACTAGCTGTGTGGTCTTAACCAAGTTACTTGACCTCTCTAAGCTGGTTTTCTCATCTGTAACATCAGGATAATAGCTACTTGTGTGCAGTGGAATTGCTTAATATGGCCCTTCTAGCTATAGTCTTTGTGGGGATTGGATAGCTTGCTAAGAATGTAAATAAGGTTCATGGTACCCTTGTGGGGGTGGGACCATGCAAGAAAGATGTATGGAAACCTAACTAGGGGATTGTTCAGTTTTGCCATCTGTCTTGGTTATCTAGTGCTGCTATAACAGAAATACCACAAGTGGATGGCTTTAACAAGAGAAATTTATTTCCTCACAGTAAAGTAGGCTAAAAGTCCAAATTTAGGGTGTCAACTCCATGGGAAGGCTTTCTCTCTCTTTTGGCTCTGGAGGAAGGTCCTTTTGATCAATCTTCCCCTGAACTAGGAGCTTCTCTGTGGAGGAATCCTGGGTCCAAAGAATGTGCTCTGCGCTTGGCACTGCTTTCTTGGTAATATGAAGTCCCCCTGTCTCTCTGCTCACTTTTCTCCTTTATATCTCAAAAGAGATTGCCTCAAGACACAATCCGATCTTGTAGATTGAGTCCTGCCTCATTAACATAACTGCCGCCTAGCCCCTCTCATTAACATCATAGAGGCAGGATTTACAACACATAGGAAAATCACATCAGATGACAAAATGGTAAATAATCACACCATACTGGGAATCACGGCCCTGCCAAATTGGTACACATATTTTTTGGGGATAATTCGATCCATGATACCATTCCTATAGGGTTAAAATGAGCTATCCCAGAGACAGGAAGGGAGGATCTTGCTACCATCAAGAAAGAAAAATCAGGAGTGGAGTGTGTCCTTTGGACCCAGGATCCCTGCACTGAGAAGCTTCCTGGAACCAGGAGACCAAGAGAGAGAGCTGTAACACTGAAGAGAGTAAGAAGCTGTGAGACAGAAATGGCAGCAGCAGAAGCAGGAGACTGGCAGGAGACGGAGCGGTGGGTTTCCCAGCCCATGGAGCAAGAAAGCTGAGTGCTTTCAGGCAAGAGTCTTGCTGGTGGAGTAAGGTGCCTCCTGGCACTTGGTAGAGCAAGGTTCGCTGACCAATGGATCCTAGAGCTGAGCACCTTTGGGCTGAGGCTTACTGGAGGAATAGGGTGCCTCTGGGTACTTACTGGCAGAGCTAGAAGAACTTTGTAACACTTGCCCAAGTGGATCAGAGGCCAGGCTGAGGGGCTGAGGGTCAGAGAGAGACCTGCTTGCGGGCACAGCTAAGAAGAGACTGTCCTGATGAGGAACTGTATCCTGGGCATTCTTAAACTTGAATTGTAACCTGTTGTTGTTGTTGCCGGGTGCTGTTGAATCGGTTCCAGCTCATAGTGACCCTATGTACAACAGAACAAAACACTGCCTGGTCCTGTGCCATACTCACAATTGTTGCTATGCTTGAGTGCGTTGTTGTAACCACTGTATCAATCCATCTTGTTGAGGGTCTTCCTCTCTTTTGCTGACCCTCTACTTTACCAAGCATGATGTTGTTCTCCAGGGACTGGACCCTCCTGATAACATGTCCAAAGTACATGTTAAAGTCTTGCCATCCTCACTTCTAAGGAGCATTCTGGCCGTACTTCTTGCAAGACAGTTTTGTTTGTTCTTCTGGCAGTCCATGGTATATTCAATATTCTTCACCAACACCATAATTCAAATGCGTCAATTCTTCGTCGGTCTTCCTTTTCATTGTCCAGCTTTCACATGCATATGAGGAGACTGAAAATATCATGGCTTGGGTCAGGCACATCTTAGTCCTCAAAGTGACACCCTTGCTTTTTAACATTTTAAAGAGGTCTTTTGCAGCAGATCTGCCCAATGCAATATGTCATTTGATTTCTTGACTGCTGCTTCCTTTTGGCATTGATTGTGGATCCAAGTAAAATGAAATCCTTGACAATGGCAATCTTTTATCCATTTATCATGATGTTGCTTATTGGTCCAATGGCGAGGATTTTTGTTTTCTTTATGTTGAGGTGTAATCCATACTGAAGGCTGTAGTGTTTGATCTTCATCAGTAAGTGCTTCAAATCCTCTTCACTCTCAGCAAGTAAGGTTGTGTCATCTGCATAACTCAGGTCGTTAATGAATATTTCTCTAATCCTGATGCTGCATTCTTCTTCATATTGTCCAGCTCCTCAGATTATTTGCTCAGTATACAAATTGAATAAGTATGGTGAAAGGATACAACCCTGATGCACATCTTTCCTGATTTTAAACCACACAGTATCCCCTTGCTGTGTTCGAGCAACTGCCTCTTGATCTATGTACAGATTCCTCATGAGCACAATTAAGTGTTCCAGAATTCCCATCTTTGCAATGTTATCCATAATTTGTTACAATCCACATAGTCAAATGCTTTTGCATAGTCATAAAACACAGGTAAATATCTTTCTGGTATTCTCTGCTTTCAGCCATGATCCACCCAACATCAGCAATGACATCCTTTGTTCCATGTCCTCTTCTGAATCCGGCTTGAATTTCTGGCAGTTCCCTGCTGAGGTACTGCTGCAACCACTTTTGAATTATCTTTAGCAAAATTTTACTTGCATGTGATATTAATGATATTATTTGATAATTTCTACATTCTGTTGGATTACCTTTCTTTGGAATGGGTACAAATATGGATCTCTTCCAGTCAGTTGGCCAGGTAGCTGTCTTCCAAATTTCCTGCCATAGATGAGTGGGCACCTCCAGCACTGCATCTATTTGTTGAAACATCTCAATTGGTATTCCCTCAATTCCTGGAGCCTTGTTTTTCTCCAGTGCCTTCAGTGCAGCTTGGACTTCTTCCTTCAATACCATCTGTTCTTGATCATATGGCACCTCCTGAAATGGTTGAGCATTGACAAATTATTTTTGGTTCAGTGACTCTGTGTATTCCTTCCATCTTATTTTGAAGCTTTCTGCATCCTTCAATATTTTGCCCATAGAATCCTTCAAAATTGCAACTCAGGGCTTGAATTTTTAATTCAGTTCTTTCAGCCTGAGAAAGGCCAAGTGTGTTCTTCCCTGTTGGTTTTTATAATTCCAGGTCTTTGCACAGTGCATTATAATACTTTACTTTGTCTTCTTGAACCACCCTTTGAAATCCTCTGTTCAGCTCTTTTACTTCATCATTTCTTCCATTTGCTTTAGCTATTCGATGCTCAAGAGCAAGTTTCAGAGTCTCTTCTGACATCCATTTTGGTCTTTTCTTTCTTTTCTGTCTTTTTAATGGCCTCTTACGTTCTTCATGTATGATGTCTTTGATGTCATCCCACAACTTGTCTAGTCTTCGATCATTAGTGTTCAATGTGTCAAATCTATTCTTAAGATGGTCTCTAAATTCAGGTGTGATATACTCAAGGTTGTATTTTGGCTCTCATGGACTTGCTTTAATTTTCTTCAGTTTCAACTTGAACTTGCATATGAGCAATTGATGGTCTGTTCCACATTGGCTCCTGGCCTTGTTCTGACTGATGATATTGAGCTTCTCCATCGTCTCTTTCCACAATGTGGTCAGTTTGATTCCTGTGTATTCTATCTGGCAAGGTCCACTTGTATAGTCACCATTTATGTTGGTGAAAAAAGGTATTTGCAATAAAGAAGTCGTCGGTCTTGCAAAATTCTATCATGCAATCTCCAGTGTCGTTTCTATCACCAAGGTCGTATTTTCCAACTACCAATCCTTCTGTTTTGTTTTCAACTTTCACATTCTAATCACCAATAATTATCAATGCATCTTGATTGCATGTTTGATCAATTTCACACTGCAGAAATCTTCAATTTCTTTATCTTTGGCATGAGTGATTGGTGTGTAAATTTGAATAATAGTTGTAACCTGTTACTTCCCTAATAAACTCCATAACTGTGAGTATGGTTTGTGACTTCTGGGTGGCCATTGCAACAAATTCTTGAACCCCGCAGAGGAGTAGAGAGTGCCATGGGCTGGACAGATGGTGAGAGGATTGGTAAAACGTTAGAGAGAGGAGGCATGTCTGACCATCACCTCATAGGAATCAGCCTAGGGCTGTTGATCTTGATTCTCCTTCCCCTTTGTCAGGTTACACAAGGAGGTCAGACACCTGTGCCATGCCATTTTCACACTACCCTATGGGATCATTGTTGTTGCTGTGTGCCTTTGAGTTGATTCCAGCTCATAGCGACCCTATGTTGTTGTTGTTGTTAGGTGCTGTAGAGTTGGTTCTAACCCACAGCGACCCTGTGTACAACAGAACGAAACACTGCCTGGTCCTGCACCATCCTCACAATCGTTGTTATGCTTGAGCCCACTGTTTCAGCCATTTTGTCAATCCATGTCGCTGAGGGTCTTCCTCTTTTTTGCTGACCTTTTACTTTACCAAGCATGATGTCCTTCTCCAGGGACTGATCCCTCCTGATAACATGTCCAAAGTATGTGAGAAGTATGTGAATGACCCTATAGGACAGAGTAAAAGTGCCCCCATAGGGTTTTCTAAGCTGTAATCTCTATGGGAGCCGATCACCAGGTCTTTTCTCCCACGGAACCACTGATGGGTTTGAACTCCTGACCTTTTGGTTAGCAGCTAAGTGCTTAACCATTGCACCAGTAGGCTCCTTATAGGATCGTTAGGAAGTTTAATGAGAGAACGCACATAAACCACTGAGCATAGTGCCTGAGTGAGAGTACATGTTGAGTAATCACAGTAAATAACAGCCTCCCACCCCCATTCACCTGCTCATCACCCCTGGTATTAACAGCTATCTCATTTAGGAAATGGTTAAGTGGCAAGAGGG